TTGGTTAGATCACTTTCTATTGAAGGACATTTATGGATAGAATGAAATGATTATACACAGTGGTTTTACAGGGTCATGTTAATTTAACAGGTAAAAATTCCCACAGAACTATACACCCATTGGGTGTTGTAGAATAGCAGTGGTGACACCAGTGAATCAAAACAAATTTAGTGACTTCAATGAAAGTTGATGGTGGGACACAGTGACATCACCCTAGAGCAAAGAGCTGATGTATCACAGGAAAGCTCCTTTTTACATTTGGCAAAAGCCAGAGAGCTGGTAGTATGACCCTCAGTAAAACAAGAAAATATGGTTGTGTTCAGATATTGAGTAGACTTTCAATTTGATTCAGCTGAGTTTACACAAATTGACCTGTGTTCTAACAGGGATTCTGTATTTTGATATAAAATACCACTTTGAACTGATGTATTCTTTGCCTCTGGAAAATGATAAATCCTCTTACACTGCACTTCAGAAAGAGTCAGTGCCTTGCTTCAGTATACAGTTTCTTTGATAGTCTATGTCCTTGCTCACTATTTCTGGAAGAGCTGTAACTATTTTGCAAGTAAGACTGATTAATTTTGTTGTATAATTTGCAAGTGACATTTACAAGGGAATATTGTGTGGGGATATCTGGGAGGGATATTGTGTTCCGACTTTTCCTGCTTGACTGCCTACCCTCCTGGAACAAACAACACTGCTTCATTTTCCTTCCGTATTTTACAAAGTTAAAGTAAACACTGTGATCACACTGTTTACTTTAATTTCCTGCAGTGTGCCAGCAAAGCAGCAAATTGGCAGTCACCAATCAAGAAGCAGCCAGTATTGAAACAGCAGAGCTGCTTAGGAAAGCATCAATGATGCCAAATAATTTTTCCCTCTGTTTTAAAAATAAAATATTGGCTTCTATGAAGTTTCACTTCCACCACAATCTTCTCTAAAGGATTTGAAATCTTATTTGCTTCCTTTAATTTTCTTTTGGAAGAAAGCTGGAATTATGAGCAACACCTAATTTATATGGCCAACACTTTTTATATAAAGAAATGGCTTTACAAAAGCGGCAAATACATGCTATTTATCTGTACAAATTCCACGGCATTTTTGCACAAAAGGAAATTAACTTGTCTGTAAATCAGTCTTATCTGGATATTTTTTATTTTTATGCCAAGAGCTCTAGCTGTGCTACTTCAATTAGGTGTATGATAACATGAACCTAAAGCCTCATGCATTACATTCAGAACACACATCTGCCCAAGAATGGAATCCTAAGAGGCAAATAATTATATTTTCAGAGGTTGCTGTCTCTCATCTAATACTACATAAAGCAAGGAATATTAATACCAAAGAAGTAGTAAGAAGAATGGCATAGTATTTTGTACTTCAGAGGTGTAAAGCTTGACAAGGTGACTCATTTATTGCTTTCTGGAAGATATTGTACAGAAGGAATTTATTGCTATGTAAGTTATAACTGCAATATACAAAAGAGGCCAGATCCTACAATCAGTTATTCTCCTGACTATGTGCATTCCTGCACATACTCTTACTGAAGACAATGAGATTATGAAGAGGATTAGTTTATTGTTATTCTGGCCAAAGTTTGCCTTTGGAAAGTCCAAAACATGACCTAATTTATAGTGGTTGAAATCTTGTGGGAAAGGTTGTAAGAGGATAATTATTTTAAAAGCCATGACTTTGACACCAGGAAATTAAATTCATATCTATATGTCTTTATCTATACACAGCAAATCCAATAATCTTGAGCTCTCTACAGTCACTTAGCCAGCTGGCAAAGGGAGCAAAGTAAAAACTAACAAACCTGATTCCTAAGGTATGCTGACATCAGTGATTCATGATTCATCAATAATGGTGCTAGGAAATAAATGTAACAGGGCATTATTGCCTTTTGCAGCACAGTAAACTCAAGGGAAAATGTCTAAGTGCATCACACTGAAAAGACAGAGCTAGCAAAGAAATAACTTTTACAAGTATTTAAGAGGTGTTACAAGCAAGTGAAAGTAGAGAAAAAAACACAAACCTTTTAAAAACATTGGGAATACCTATAAATAAAAAGGGACAGTTTTCCAGCTACAAGCTTAAGTGGGCTAACATGAGAACTAGCTTTTTTTTGGTTCTCCAACATTTTTACAAGGAGAAAGAATTTAAATTGCTTGTTCCAGAATAAACCCTTGAAAAAACAGTTCTGGTTTAATGGTCCACCAGGATAAGCACAATGAAGTTGGTTCTGTGCTATGCAAAATTACTAATGCTGTTGACAGTAATTATGACTTTCACAACTTATCTAAATCACTAAGAGGGCAAATATGTAAACACAAAGTATTATATATATTTGTTTGAAAATTACTGTATTAGCAAATAATTGACGATCTCCTTTGAAGGTGACTGAACTATCATTGTAAAAACCTAAGATTATTAACGGAAAAAAAATGGGTAGCTATCCCTAGAAGAGCAGATACACTTCCTGCTTTCACTACATAGAACAGGAAGATCTAATACATCATTAAACAATTGGGGGCTTTCTTTATATTTTTGTAGCTTTATACTATTTATGGTAGAGTTTGGCCTATATTTCTAATCTTTTTTAGAACCTACCCAATTAAAATCCAGGTTCATTGTTTATGCTATTAAAAGAATTACTGCACAATATTAATTATGCACGGTGGAACATGTTGCTCCAGAGAAACGTTGCCTTTCTTTAAGGGGCAACAGCCACTAGTTCTGATACAAGCTTTGTTTTTTGGCTAGAGGGTAAGTGACTTTGGTGGGTTGTTGAAGTATTTTACCAGAGAAAATGTTGTTCTCCTGACATAAGGCTTGCTTCAAACCATCGCTGCTTAACTGCGAAGCACCACTAATACATCTAGTAGCTGTTTTGCCTGGACTGACACTGCAAATTTCATTTTAAAGATAGAGTTTCCAAACAGTATAATTCCTAATAAACAATTAATTGATTGACAAGATCTGCAAATGTATATTTCACTCTATTGAGTTTTCTTTACATGCTCTATAGAGGTTTTTATGAAGTTTGAATGTAGATTTCCCTAAAAAAAATACAGGCAAAAGAGAATGTAAGAAAAAGATACTGTATGAGGAAAAAGAATATGGAACATAAGATAAATCTATCCTTACACAAATGGATTTAATAGCACTATACTAGGTACATATATAATGGATGGATTTAAGAACATCAGTGATGTCAGTGAAGAGCAACAGGTATCCTTACTGTAAATATAATTAATGATTCATAATCATAACTTTCTGGAAAAGTACACACAATGTAGAGGATACTGCATCATGGTAAATAAATAAATCCTGGTTTGATCTGTTTCAGGGAGCATTGTTAAAAATTGACTTGTTTTTCTTCTTTCTCTGCATTATTCACAAGCGTAGGCCCCTGACTTTGCAAACATAATGTACACTTAGCTTTCAAATCAACCAGCTTACTCACGGTAGTAAAACTGAATTACTGCAAATACAATACTAGTGTAGTGAAGGCCATTTCTTCTTATTTCTCTCTGACCAGCTCGATAGACAAATAATGATTGACCTATATTTAGGGCAAGGCCAGCATTAAATTTAAGAAATATGTTTAGTGAATACATGACACGTGATGCAAAAAAGAGGCTCAGACAGCAGTGTTTGTTCAGGCTTAAGAAGACAAGGCAAGAGGGAAATCATCGTTTTCTACAGCTACCTAATGGGAGGCTATGGGGGTTTAGAGGGGACATGAAGCTAAACTATTATTTTAAATGTACATAAGAGGCAAAAATTACAAGCTACAATAAGAGAAACCACAACTAGACATTGAAAAAGTTTTCAAAAATACAGTAGTCATCACACTTATTCTACCTAAGCTACCTTGTCATGTGTCTGCCATGCTAGACACTAGGATGGAGGCCCAGAGATGTATGTAGTTTTCATCCTTGGAGATACTCAAATCTCACTGGACAAGGCCCTGGGTAACCTTCTCTAAGCTGGAGCTGCTCTGAGTGGGGAGCTGAATCAGATGATCTCCAGAGGTCTCTTCCAAACAAAATTCTTCTTTTTTATTTTTTCTTTTTAATTCCATACTCTTTATTATTTTAGCCAGCTTTCTTTCTCTCTAAGCATTCCCAGCTTATAAAAGGGTAGGCAGCTTTCTTAGGAAAAATGTCTTTACTTTCTAAATTTTCTTAAAACAAGCACACCTCCAAGTACACCAGGGCAAGTGAGCTGTAAAAATCCAAACTAAATGTGAGCCACTTACCTATGCAAATACTAAACTGAAGTGCCTCTGTTACTGCTAAATTTCCCAAGATGTGTGAAACAAAAAACCTGATCAAAAGGAAGTATAATATTTATAACTATTTCTCAGGATACTTAAAATTTAGAAGATTCATACGAATTCAGCCTGCTTTCAGCTGGGCATAGCTATCTAAAAGAAGAAATAAGTACTAGAGCTGCTCATAGTGGAGGACAACTCAAAAATAAAGGCAGGGAAAGTGTCCTTTTCTTCAGATGTAGTGGAAAAATTAACATTTGCCTCATATGCAGACATGTCTCTGTGGCACAAACACATCCACAGTCCTCTAGAGTAACCCAGGAGCTGTGTTTTTGATCATGATCAGCTGCTGGGAAGAGTAATCTAGTGTTGTGTGTGTGTGGATGAGATGAGAGGGCTGTAATGTGGCAGTCATGTCAAGTCTATGCTTCAGAGGTCCTGAGTCACAAGGGAAATTGCTGAAGCTGAATCAGAGAAAATACATAAGCATCTCTCACGGGAAAGAAAAGCTGGAAAACATATACTCAACTGAGATGCATCATATGTTACATTAAAATATTAGACTAAGTTGTAGAATTTTTCAGAAACAAAGTTTTTGGCTTTGAGAGCAAGTTAGTGTAAGGTGTTGTGACATAAGATTTAATCCTTGAGCTAATGAGCTCTTGAGTAAGTTTTTCAAGCAAACACATAACAAAAATGCATATAGGTAAAATCTGTTTACCGTAACAGAATGTTATGCCATTTCCTGTATATCCTTGGGAGCAATAGCAGCCTGTTGTCCCACCCTGAACTTCACACCTGGCATCTTTGTGGCATGTCATGTTGCAGCTTGCAGAAGCGTAGCCATAGTCCAGCAGACTGGAAATCAGAACTGGAACAAAGGAAAATCAGACTCATGTCTTTATCTAAAAACCTCATTCTGAGCTCTAAAACCTGATCTGGGCAAAAAGTATCCACAAAATTGGTGTATTCTAGTAAACTTATCATCATGGACTCAGTATATCACAGGATGGGGCAAGGGCCACCAACTACAGAGACTTCTGGGGTAAAACTACCCAAGGGCTAGAAACAGCAGACGCTGTAGATTAAGTCAAAGTTATTCAGTGATTTGGGGAAAACATTTGAAAACCTTTCAAAGCTCTCTTAGTACTCAGTAAAGCACAGACATTTAGTTGTACTCTGAATTACGTATTGAGTGTAATCCAAGCTGCCCTATACATATTAAATAAAAATACCAGAGTTCTCCTAATCAGAATTTTTATAAGCATTTCCATACTTGTGTAGCTAACACATGCATGGTCTGAGACATTAAAATGACATGTCATAGTTTTTACAGCATTATGACATTAGGGTTTAAAAACTTATCCAGACTATTTAAAGCTAATCTCTTAACATACTGTTTCCATGTTATGAAAGTTTTGTCTTCTTTTTTCCATACATAGGATGATTCCTACAGGGTATATCTACTTTCCCACTGCATGAATACGTATGGTTTTCCACACAAAGAAAAAAGGAATCTCTCCCTTTAAGGAAACTATTATAACTGTACACACCCTGGAATAGTGTAAAAATGAAGCGGTTAACTCAGAATGGAAAGTAAGTTTTTTAATTTGTTCTTCATAAATTGTTAGTAGGACACAATGGAAGTTGCAGAACACAAAGATCCTTTTGGATGCAGTCTTGTTTTTCCCTACCCAAATATCATTGTGGATAGCCTACTGTTACAATTACAGGTTTCCTTGCTCCAGGAAATCTCACCGAGGCACTGTTTTCTTGGACAAATTAAAATTTCTTGAAAAATTCAAAAGACTAAAACTTATACACTTTTTTTTTTTTACAATTATATATAATCCACATTGATTTGTTATCACCAAGTTTCATCTTTTCCCTCTATTTTTGAGAGAGGAGACCATTTTCCAGAGATTAAAACAGAAACCTGTGGGATTCTGTTGACATTTTACTGTTCATAACTTGTGAAATCTAAAACTCTCCCAAGCAGACGGAGAGGGGGAAAAAAAAATAATAAACACACCACAAGCCCACAGAACCCCACAATATTTCTGTGGTTTTTTTTACAGAACAAAACCCACAGTGAGATAAAGGCTGGTATTTGTGGGATTTGGTTTTGGAATGATCCTAACCATGTAATTACTAAATCTGGTAGCAGCCCTGATCAAAGCTAAAGGGACTTTCAGTCCCATGTATCCAGCAGCTTTCCACCACCTCCAACACATCCTTTCTCCTTGCCAGACCCCACTCCCTTCCCACCTGCCACTCGCTCCCCAGGGAAGGAGATTTCACCTACCTAGGAATGGAAGCAGTTTCATTGGTGATGCTGTTTGTTGTGCAGTGCCTGGTGCAGAGCCCCTGTGTCACAGAAAAAAACTCCGTTCCTTAAAATGTATGAACATGTGCAAAATATGTACACATGGCTTTCAGGAAAGCGACGTGCTGTTGCGGGTGCAGCCCTGACACTGCCCTTTGTCCCAAGCTTCACGTTTCCAAAAGCTCCTGAGACTCACAGGCAGGACAGGAAGGGTCAGGAGGGGCTTAGGACTGAGTCTTCTGGCAAGTAGGGAATAAATTGAGAAGGGAATAAATGAGAAAGTAAAAGAAAAGCAGAAGCCTGGGTCTTGCAAGGGATATCAGAGAAGATTCAGGGCTGAGTGGGCTAGAGGACCATGTGCCTGGGTTAGTGCCTAGGGCAGAGGGAAGATGAAGCTGGAAGGGATGAGCTGAAGCCTGGTTGCAGAAGGAATAAAGGACTAGCAGGAGAATGGTGGAGCAGATCAGGGAGGGTGGGAAAGAGGTGGAGGAGATTAGTAACTACCTCAGGGTTTACGAGATTGGAGTTAATGGTCTACAAGCTTCCTTCCACCTTTTCCTGGTGAGCTGAATATATGTGAGCCCCAAGACCTGTTGTTTTTTTTTTTCTGTTGTTTTCTTTTTGAGACAGTCTTGGCTGACTGCAATTGTTCTTCCTACTGCTTTCTTCGGTTTTGAGATAGGTCCTTACTGCAGCCAAGCAATGCTGCTTTAAGGGTAATGGCCAGTGAGGGAGGTACAGGAAATCTACTGAACTCTGCTTTGTGAGGAAAACAAAGACGTATAGGCAGGGAGGAAAGAGGCAGGAAGGAATTGTACGGCCAGGAATCTCAGGAGCTGATGAAACCAAAGTTTCTAGAAGTTCGTAGGACTGAAACAGGGTGTTGTGTAATAGGGCATATTCAATATAGCATTTGGCATGTTTTTGTGTTAAATGTGAGAGCAGTTCTGTCCTCATTATAGCATCCTCATTATAGCATCCTAATTGACGAGACCTCAGCATGTACTTACATTATGCATAGACATGGCAACATTTTCTCTAATCCTGTTATGGTTGATGTGGATACCATCAGTACCCAGCTTCCCAGAGATGATGACTCACATACTGAAGCACTGTAAAACTGGAGCATTGATGTATGCCTGTCTTTATAGATGGAAGCCAAGGGATAAGTGGAAGATCTCTCTAAACTAAATGAAATGTACGTGAGGCTATGGAATGTCAGTGTGACAAAATATTTCATGTCTGACAAGAAAGTTCTGAGGTTGGAACTTCAGTAGGGAACTGACAGAGAAGCATCAGCTTGCTCTTAAGAATTACCTGTAGAAGTGGCAACATTTTTTCTAAACTTGTTAGGAACTATTTGCTCACCATCACTTTCCGGCTTCCTGATGGCTGGAGTTCAATGAGTTAAACTCTACTTGGGCCAGGGTGTTTAGACATGTAGAAATAGCACGTAGGTGTCTGGCTGGCACAAAACACTTCTGTAGCACCTTGGCAAAGAGAGAGGAAGCTCCAGTAACCGGATGTTAATTTTTGTTGAACCACAGAATAATGAACAAAGGGTCCAGGTGTAGGAAGACTGTTTTTCTCTTGTTTGAATTTTTTTTGGGGGGAGGGTGGGGGGTAGGACTTAAAGGGGAAGAGAGGAAGGGACTAGGAGTTAGATTGTTTTGTTAAGTTTTCCCGTAACCTGATGCACAGAGACTCTGAGGAACAGAAAATAAGATGGATTGAATAGAGCTCTGATCTGCATGTCCTGTCCTTCATGCTGACGCGTTAAACTGTAAGCTTTGCTTGTCTGTACTAACTTACAGATCCTGCTGCTAAATTTCACCTAAGTAAGGGCTGGGTTTGGAAATCTATAATGCAGAAACTACATCTTATTGCCCCTTGTCTTTTTACTCCCCCAAATCAAGCTAAGGTATCTTTAACAATAAGTAAGTGGAGAGAGAGAGAAGTTACAAGCTAAAATTCAGGTCTTAAGATCTTTAAATATATTTTCTAAAAGTCAGAGATGTAAATTTCTATTTAATTTAGACAACAGCTTCCTGCAAGGGCTGTTTGGGTAGACTGGTTAGACAGCAATTTCATGAATCATAGTGATAGTAAATTTATAGTTAAAACTTTAATTCCTTTTCTGATTCAAGGGGTATGTAGAAGTTGTGGATGACTCAGAAAAAAGCCATAATCTCACTATAAGGAGACAAATGCCTCCTTTCCTTTTTGCTAGAAAAGCACATGATAACTTGATTTTTAGTAGTCAATGGTCCAAACTTATCAAGAGAAATATGCAAATCACATCAGAATAGTTTTCATCTGGAATAACATTGTTAAACTACTTACTCCACTCACAGGCTAGTGGACAACGTCAAAGGCAGTCCATAGGTCTAATTGGGAAATGGTTTACATTGTGAGGAGGGAGTGCATAAAGAAGAAAGATGTCAAAGAACAGAGCAAGGACAGAAGAAGGAAGGTTAGGTTAAGAGGAACTGGGTGATAAAAGGAGCTTCGATCAGATTTAGAAGGCAATAGGGAGACAGGGAAGAAGAGGGATTTAGGAATATCTTAATGAGATCTCAATACTGGGAGCAGTGGATTACTTTTGCATTAGACTACTTTAAAAACTGGCTATTGTGTGTGTCATTTAGAGGCTGAAGACAGCAAGGTCGCAGTAGGCATGGATGTGGAGAAGGATGGACTTGACAAATATTTTATGGGGAGAATGAAGAAGAAAGGGGAGATTTCTGAGACATTTAAGAGATTAAACCAGGAGGATTTACTGTTAATATCTATTGGCACACAGGGATAAAGAGTTAAACAAGTGGAGATGAGCAGATGAACACATAAGAAAGCAGACACTTTCAAATTTGTGCTGTCAAAATTTTGAAAATACACAGAGAATAAAATACTGAGGTGTCACAAAACTGAAGGATGTCTGTCTTTACAGGCAGGGAGAAGGGACATGCACAAACATGCATATACCTGGAAGACTGGAGAATAGTCTAAACTCAGTCAAATGGTGAAAGGATGTGGAATGTCAGTACTGCAGAATCCACCCCTGCTTGTCTCAAAATAAAGAAGCATTAAAAATAAATGGTTTATGGAAACACTCCAGAAGACAGCTTTTCCATTCTTAAATGTGAGAAGCAAAGCTTCAATTCTATACTTAAATATGTTGTTCGTTTTATAAATAGGCTCATTTATCTTTGCAGGACTGAGTTAAGAGGACATGAATATACACAGGCTAACATGCTTGGCTTCAAACCACACATTTTTGATTACTGATCACAGTGATTACAGCATCTTATTGCACTGTGAGTGTAGAATTCTCAAGGTTGCTGTTTTTTTTTTTTTTTTTTTTGCTAGTGAACTGATAGAGAGACATCAGCCTGCTCTCAGAAATTACAGGATATTTTCCAAGCTTTTATCATGAAGAAATACATTTATTCACAGTGGCTTTAAAGGTAATTGGGATCTTGATTGTGCAGACAATGCTACAGAACTAACACCCCCAGCTGATGAGGGAAGAAAGTTAACATTTCTTAGAGCTCAGTCTCAGGTAGCTTTCAAAAGACAAATATAAAGCAACTGCTTTAATTCCAGAAACTGCTTATAGTACCAACAAAGGAAGAAAAACTGAACAGTGCTAGTATTAGGTGTGTTTCTTTTAAATTAACATAAGCATAACCAACTCTATGAAAGACATTTATTCCTTTGGTGTGATCAAAATTGGACTGTTAGCTGGATATATGCCAAAGATTCTCACAACATCTGTAGTTTTATATTACACTGGAGAAAGACAAGTGTGGTATGTCAGGATCTGTATTTCTTTCTCAAATTAGCGGGTAAGTATGCCAGTAGATACTTAGCAAGAGCCAAAGGATGTCATCTGATGGTCATCTTATAAATCTATCTGCCGGAGGTTGCAGACCCCACTTTCAGACCACTATGGATCATACTGAGAGGGGATGGTAAGAGTGTGCATCAGACTGAGAGATCCTGAGTGCTCCAGCAGGGTTCATAGATCTTCAGTCTCCTTGTCACTGATATATTCACACATATATTCAGCACCCTCAGACTCTGGTATCTAACCCACCAACATTGCGCTCAAAGAAATCCACTCTGTGCATGCAGAACAGCCACATGCACATGCATACACTCAATTTATCTCTATCACATAAGCACATATATGTATCGGTTACTGAATTGGGCTGATACATGTTTGATATGAATAATAATAAGATGATCATGACCTTCCCTTTCAGCCTTTGCTTTTTTTGATAAATGACTCTTCATTTGAACCACCAGGTTTGCTGCCAAAAGGAAAATGGGATACAAAACAGACTGAGGATGCACAAATGCCTTGGATAAAGCTTTTTCTCTGATGCTTTCTATTTTTTTTTTTTAATATTAAATTCATTTATGGGTTCCATACCAAATCCTATCACTTCAGGAATTTAGATGGTCTTTATACTACTTCAGAAATGTTTCATTTATCCTAGTCACTAGAGCAATTACAAGGTTGGTTTTTTTCTAGTCAATAAAGTCTGGATACAGTTGAAAATGTACTTAAATGTCAGCTCAAAATAATGAATTTACATGGTTGGTTACAATTATTTTCAAATAAAAAAATCCAGGGAAAACATTTTCTGAACACAGACTAGTCTACCATAGAGCAGCTTACCTCAGAGGACTCTAGCTCAAAAGTATTGTTAGCATCTGTTTTATAACTGCCTCACCTCACCTTCCTGTCTGAGTGCTTCATGAATGCTTATAATTTTATGTGCAAACATCATATTCCATCTGAACATACAGGGCTGAATATATCTCCTGGGATGATGTAACTCTAGGCAATTCTGAAGCAATAAACACACAATCACATGTAAACATATGCATGCACACATCCTACTAAATCTGTGTAGCTATGTCCATCTGAAAGAAATGGCACGTTTCAGTGCTCAGAGCCAGTTTCTTTCTGCTCTTTGCTTTACCTTGGGTGAAGTCATGAAATGGGGGAATTTAAAGTGAATGCAATGTTTCTGAAAGCCAGATTAGCTGCCCTGAAATTGTGCTCTGTTTCCGCATTTGCTATAATATAGAAGAGATGTACAGGCTGAGTATAAAGGTCCTCAAAGCTAAAAGGAATAAAGTAATTCCATTTCCAATTTTGTTTTTTTTGTTTATGTTCTCCTGGGACTGCTCATGCTATGGTACTTGTAATGTTAGTCACATCTCTGCAGGATAGACTGAACCTAATAAGTAATTACACCAATGAAATGCCAGATTATCAGTCGTTTTAATCCACGCTCATTTTATACCAGAGCATTAGAAGAGAAGGGCTCTTACATTGCAGTGCTAATATGCTAACTGCCAGATAACCAGACAAGCTCCTAGAAGACAACAACTAACTCTTCTTTATCTCACATGGGAGAGAAGTTCTGACAGTCCTTGTTCATCTGTCATATATTCTTTGACTTGAAGTAGTGGCAAGTCACTGTCTTAACCTGTCTAGGTGTTTACCCTCGCAACACTCCAGGAAATATTCCAGCAGGCCAGTATGCCACAAAACCATCCTAGATCTTACCTTAGGTAATAGGCTGTAAAATGGTCAGATTATAAGGTTTGTGTCCTTATTGAATTAAGTTCCATGTCTGCTGAGGAATGATTAGATCCTAAGTAAGGATCTCAGGATTTGGTC